TATTTCCCAGTAGGATGGTATGTGGAGGTGGGGTCTCTGGGAGGTAATCAGTGTTGGGTGAGATCATGAAGATCGGACCCACATGATGGGAATTGTGACCTAATAGGAAGAGACTTTGGAGAGCTCTATCTCTGCCATATGAGGTGCCAGCAAGAACGTGGCCATCTGCAGAATATCAGCAAGGACAAGGGTCCTCACTAAGACCTGAGTCAGCTGGTATATTGTTCTTGAACTTCCCAACCTCCAGAACATGGAAAAAATATGTTCCTGTTGAAACCATCTATGTCTATGGCATTTTGTTGTGACACCTAGAGCTGACTAATGTTCTTTCTTTGCCCCAATTCCTTGATTATATATTTACTTGGGAAATAATGTTCAATTCAATTTATAAATGACCACACATGACTTGAAATCTCAGAAACTAGGAAGTAATGATGAACAGAACTCACCCACAAAACTTCCCACCTTATGCCCACATCTTTCATACAACATGGAGACTGACTAAATGGTCTTGCAAGCTATGCCCCTCTGTGAAGGGGAGCCCGCTTAAAAGGTGATTGGTAAAGATAGTATTTTCCCTCCTCTTTTATATGCCTTAATTCACAGTGACAGATACAAGACCCACAAAGCCACATGTATGGAAGGAGGAACAGAAACTGCTTTAACATTTAAAATCTTCCCTGGATTTTAAAATGTCAAAATGGCAAATAAAAACATTCTTAGATTCTAAATCAAATTAATTATTTAAAACTTTTTCCACAAAACAGGAAACATCTACTTCGAAGTGTACAATTTTGGATTTTGTTATGACAAAGACATTAGTGCTGATATGGACATATTTTTTTCTTCTATTAGGTGCAGGGTCTCTGTCCTAGTGCCTAAGTTTTTGATCCACTTTGAATTGGTTTCATGCAGGGTGAGAGATAGAGATTTGATTTCATTTTGCTACATATGGATTTCCAGTTTCGTCAGCACCATTTGTTGAATAGACTATCTTTTCTCCAGTGAATGTTTTGGCACCTTTGTTAGTATGAGATAACTGATTATCTTCACATGCACCTCTGATAAAGCATTAATTTCTAGGATATATAAAGAACTCAAAAAAACTTAACACCAAAATAACCAAATAACCCAGTCAATAAATGGGCTAAGGATCTGAACAAACACTTCATAGGAAAAGAAATACAATCAACAAATATATGAAAAGGTGTTCAACATCTCTGGCAATTAGAGAAATGCAAATCAAAACTACACTAAGATTTCATCTTAGTCAGAATGGCAATCATCAAAAATGTAAGCAACAATAAATGTTGGCAAGGATGTGGGGGAAAAGTTACACTCATACATTGCTGGTGGGACTGCAAATCGGAACAACCACTATGGAAAGCAGTATGGAGATTCCTTGGAAATCTAGGAATGGAACCACCATTTGACCCAGCTATCCCTCTCCTCTGTCTACACCCAAAGGACTTAAAAACAGCATACTACAGGGACACAGCCACATCAATGTTTATAGCAGCACAATTCATGATAGATAAACTGTGGAACCAACCTAGATGCCCTTCAATGGATAAATGGATAAAAATAATGTAGCATATATATACAATGGAATATATTCAGCAATAAAAGAGAATAAAATCATGGCATTTGCAGGTAAGTTGAAGGAGTTTGAGAAGAAAATGTTAAGCGAAGTTAGCCAATCCCAAAAAAAACAAATGCCAAATATTTTCTCTGATGTAAGGATGCTGATTCATAGTGGGATAGGGAGAAGGAGCATGAGAGGAATAGATGAACTCTAGATAGGGCAGAGGGTTGGAGGAGAAGGGAGGGAGCATGGGGTTAGAAATGATGGTGGAATGTGATAGGCATTATCCAAAGTATGTGTATGAAGACCCAAATTGGTGTGAATATATTTTGTATACAACCAGAGATATTAAAAATTGTGCTTTATATGTGTAATAAGAATTGTAATGCAAAAAAATAACAAAAAATCAGGAAAATGTTTGCAATATACAATAGACATAAATATGTATTTATAAATACAAAATAAAACTTCACAAAGCAATTATAAACAAGATTGAAATCCCAGCTTGAAAATGAAAAGTTTGCCAAAAAAAAAAAAGCAGCATACTACAGTGATGTAGCCACTTCAATGTTTACAGCAGCTCAATTCACAATAGCTAAATTATGGAATCAACCTAGATGTCCTTCAAAAGATGAATGGATAAAGAAAATGTGGTGTATATATATGGAATATTATGGAATATTACTCAGCTTAAAGAGGAATGAAATTATGGCAGTTGCCAGTAAATGGATGGAGTTGGAGATCATTTTGCTAAGCAAAGTAAGCCAATCCCCCCCAAAAAACAAAGGCTGAATGTTTTCTCTATTATGTGGAAACTAATTCACATTAATAGGGGCAGGGCACTAGAGAAGAATAGAGTTACCTTAGATTATATAGAGGGGAGTGAAGGGAGGGGAGGGGAGAGGACGTAGGGATAGGAAGGATAGTAGAATAGAACAGACATCATTACTTTATATATATACGTGACTGCATGACCAGTGTGATTCTGCAACACATATACTCAGAAAAAATGAAAATTATATCCTATCTACATATGATATATCAAAGTGCATAAATATATTCTACTCTCATGTATAACCAATTAAAACAAATAGAATTAAAAAAAAAAGACATAAGTGCTGGTGGGAGGAGGTTACATTAATAGACCAGTACAAAATAAACATTTGAAGGCCTAAAATGACAACTTCTAACCAGGAAAGAAATGGGCTCTTTTCTCTGTTAAAGACGAATCTCCTGCTTAGAGTCATTTAATTAAGTGGAGATACTTTCCTTATGCCAGTGGATTCTGAAAGAACTGGGAAGGAGTGAAATTAGAGCTCTGCTGTTTACATTTGGCCAAATGTAGGCAGCTGAGATTCTCTTAGTCTAAGAAAGTTGAGCCTTTCCACAATGAGAGATTTCACCTTAAACGAATAATAGGAAATCTTCTAGCATCATTAAGTATTCACAGTTCCTTAAAGTTATGACTAAGTTAATCATTTGCTTTAAAACAGCATACTACAGGGCCACAGCCACAACCATGTTTATAGCAGCACAATTCACAATAGCTAAACTGTGGAACCAACCTAGATGTCTTTCAGTAGATGAATGGATAAAAAAAAAATGTGGCATATATGCACAATGGAATATTACTCAGTGATAAAAGAGAATAAAATCATGGCATTTGCAAGTAAATGGATGGAGTTGGAGAATATAATACTAAGTGAAGTTAGCCAATCCCAAAAAACCAAATGCTGAATGTTTTCTCTGATATAAGGAGGCTGATTCATAGTGGGGTTGAGAGGGGGGAGCTTGGGAGGATTAGATGAACTCTAGATAGGGCAGAGGGGTAGGAGGGGAAGGGAGGGAGAATGGGGATAAAAAAGATGATGAAATGAGATGGACATCATTACCCTAAGTACATGTATGAATACACGAATGGTGTGAATATACTTTATATACAGCCAGAGATATGAAAAATTGTGCTCTATATACGTAATATGAATTGTAACGTATTCTGCTGTCATATATAACAAATTACAATAAAAATGTTTTCCTCCAAGCACCAGGGAAATGTTTAAATGATATATTAATTATCCAAAATATTCTGCTCTTTGCTTTTATACACTTTTCTCCTATCACATGTCTCTAAAATTAAAGAAGAAAGCATTATGTTAATGGTTTGCTTTCATATTTAATTTATAATAGGAACACTGAGAAGCAAAGGGTTGTGTTTGCAGTTTGGTATGCAGCTCACCTCCTGTTACAATGAGGAATTCCGTATGATGATAAAAGGAATTCTAGGCTCAAAGCTCTGGCCCTTTATTTTATACAAAACCCATACAACCAAACACCAACTAGTAAAACAAATGAATCTGAACATTCCTTCAGAGTTTGTTGAATTTATTTGGTTGGTTATTAAACACAGTACTCAGTAAAAAAGATGGGCATATATCTCAGTGTATCCTCATTTTTAAAGAAACCCTAATAGGCATACTGTACTTTCTTCTCTGCATACTCTTGCTTCACTCTTAAAAACTACATAGTAATTCTATAGAAAGAATGAAAGATGGCCTTGGGCCATCACAATAGAATCAGTGGATGTAACACAAAGAGACCCCATACTAGAGAAATGTGTTTGCATTTGTGGTTTTTCTGGTGCCTTCAAATGAATGCTCCTACGTCACAACCACATCTGTTTGGATGCCTTTTCCCCCCTGGGTAAATGAACAAAGGGCCATGTTCTTAGTGCTCTCCTGATGGAAATTAACAGTCTGCTTTCATCCTTGCCTCATGAAGCTTCCTTTGAGTTGCTCTATTTCTTGAAGCTTTTTTCATAAGCTGATAGAAAACCAAAAGCTATCATGAATTTGGTATCCGAAGAACACTAAATAATTAGAAAGAAGATCTAAACTTCTTCTGGGTCCTGAGAATGCTCACTTTAAAATGTTAAAAAGAAAGACCAAAAGGAGAGATCAGAAACCTACGTCCAAGTAGAGAGTTCATGCAAGGAAAGAACTTTCAGAATATGATCAGTTTAAGTACTGTTGACATAATTTCAATTTGTGCTTTTAGATTTGCCCAGAAATTTTGATATTTAAATGTTAACTTCTTCATTTTCAATTTAACTATATATTTGCTGCTTGCATTTAAAAACTAGGGTATTCCATATTATACCTTCATTCATGTAGGCTAATATGAATGAATGGAAAGGCTTATAAACCCACAGAACGAGAATTCCCATCAAATGTCAGGCAGGCCACATTGACAAACAAGTCTTCATTTGTTAATAAGCTGCATACAATTAGTGTACTGAAAGATAACCAAAGGTTTCCCAGAAGCCCAATCATAAACATGCAGCATTAAAATCCAAAGAATACAGTACAAGTTATAAATACACACTTTAAGAAAATAAACGAAAATAAAAGGTACTTACACTCTTGCTCCGAGAAAGCAAATCACACGTATTTCTTTTCATGGTTGTGTTTTAAGTAATCCAAACGGGCACTAGTTGTTTCCAACGTCAGTGCTCTCACTGCCACAATTATCCACTCAAAAGCCAACTGGAATGCTGGAAAAAAAAAAAAAAGCAAGGAAATGTTTAATCAAGTATATGATTAACACGTGCACTTCAAAATGCTATTTTGGCCTAGGAACATAACTCTTAAATAATTCATCAAAACAGGCTAAAATGGTGATGTGTTTAAAACAACAAAAGTACATACAAACAACATTTCCAAAACAGCTTTTTTAAAATGTAAGTTAGAGATTTCAAGCACCATCTGTTTTCCATTAAATATTCAAGTCTACTTTTTCAGTGGCTGAAAAAAATAGGTATGGTAATCACAACCTAATGTTTCTATAAGAAATGAATATGTAGCTGAATTGTATTATGTGTTGATTCTTTTTTAAAAATATTACTTTTAGTTGTAGTTGGACACAATACTTTTATTTAATTTATTTTTATGTGGTGATCAGGATCGAACCCAGGGCCTTGCATGTGCTAGACAAACGCTCTACCCCTGAGCCACCACCCCAGCCCCTATGTGTTGATTCTTACTGGGACAATTTTGGACCCTTAACTTTCAACCAAGAGATCATCAACTGAGCCTTGTCCACCACTTGGGGAATCTTCCTACATCTGAAGGAAAGAGCCTGGGAGCTGGGTCATGGTTCTGATTTCCTGAGCAATAATCCACAAGACACTGATGCCATCCCAGTGGCTCTTCAGTAAACTTAGTGAGTTCTTTATTCCTTTAGTTCAAAGAGGTTGCAAGGAATGCTTGAGAAAATTGAAGGCACTTTACCTAGATAAGCAATAGCTGTTATTCAAAGAACATTTCAAAAGAGTTGTCATGAAAATGATATTGATGGCCTTATTTCCTGAACTTCACTTTCCACTAGAGACTAGGATGAAGATTCTGTGTTTGGTGGAAAGAGCAAATTTAATAGCTGTATGTGTTGTCTTCATGTCTACTATATCTGACCACGATTTGCATATACATAGGGTATGTTTGCATGTGGGCTAAAGAGCAATTGGGGAAAGAACTTACTCTACGGGAAAGGGTATGAGGTAAACAAGCATCATCAAAACACAAAAACTCTTACAATACAGATGTAAGCTGACATTGTAGGTGTAGGTCAATGCTAGCAGCAGCATATAGTTCCATTATTTGCATTGTCCTAAGGTTCTCAGGGGAAAAAAAAGAAGAATGAAAGGACACCTGTGCCTGAGGTTTAGGGAACAGAGAAATACTAATCAAGCTCTAAATGATCTAGTTTTACTAAAATGATTGAAAAAAAAATGGGCAAGATTTCAGGGAACAGTGTCCGTGTGGGCCCCAGTATGAAGCCATCCATCAGGTTTAGGGAACCCAGGACCACCAGTGGAGAGGGACCTTCACCAGGCTCTTCAACATCCTGCACTGCCATTCTCTCAAGGCTGATAAAACATGCTTTGAACATATGTAAGTCACCCCTCAAGACTTCTGATAATAAAAGGCAGATAGCTTTAGGGGGCCAAACAAAAGATGGAGTTAAAAACAAAGAAATGGAGTATATTATTGCTAAGAGTTCCCTAGCTGCAACTTGGGAACCCAAAGAGTACTGAGGGAAAAAGCTTTCTTCTGAACTTAATGAAAATACTTGCCTAAAGATTAGAGAAAAAAATGCACAGTCAAATGTAAGTTTGCTAGAAAAAAAAAAAGGCTGTTTCTTTGAGTGTCTTTGGACTTTTATTTTAAGAGCGCAGAGCTTGGAGAGAGGAGCTAATCCACAAAGAGAAATTTCTCAACTCGTGCACCTCCAAGAGCATAGTCACCTTTACAGAGTAGTCATGATGCTGAGCACTTTATAGGTTCTAGGAAACTATGAAATTATGTGATTCATTTAGTTTAAGAAGTGGATCGAAATAACAGAAGCCATAAACTAAATACACTACACTGAGGAAGGAAAGAAAAAATTAAGTGCTGCAGGAAGCTTACACATTATCAGAGAATATATTTAATTTAATTATATATTCTATATTAATGAGTACCTTTATAGGCAACCATGAAATAGTTGCCCATAGTGAGCAAGTGATTCAAAGATTTTAAATTAACAAATTAGACAAAAAAATGGATTAGACCTGATAAGTTTTGCTGAATCAATCAAATTTTTAAAAAGTTTATTTTGAGAGCTTTAAAGGCCATGGTTAAGAGGTGCTTTCCTATAGGAATTTAGAACCTATAGCAATTTGAATAGACAAATGCAGTTAATTGAAAACTGACTGCTGACAGAGGGGCCCTTCTCAGCCTGGTACCTAGGAAGCATGTCCTCCATAAAAGAGTGTGGACCTCAGAACCAAATAGGTACAGATTGGAATTTCAGCTCTTCCCGAGTGTTCTGCATTACCTTTAGGTAAATCACTTAACCTCTCTGAGAAAAAGGGTGGTAATAATAATATACATGTGAGTTTTTAGCTCAAATGAGAAAATGTATATGAAGTAGGCTAAGAGATGGCACCTAAGAGATGCTTAGCTATGGCTATCATCATCATCATCATCATCATCATCATCATCATCATCATCATCTTTTTCTTCTCTTAGTACCAAATGTCAAGAAACAATGAAAAGAACCAATTTTATGTTTTCTCCTCAAAGTGCTAATCTCCGTTATTTAAAACATTCCTAGGCAAACATATTTTCAACTAAAAAATAATGAATAATGTATCAGTTAGGGTCCCAGGGTAAAGAGGCAGCATATTAATACTAGGATCATTTAAGAGGGTTTAGTAAAGACTACTGAAGATGATGTGGATAAGAAGTGCAGTCTCTGGAGCTAGCAGTGATGGAGTTTTTACTCCACTATTCCCAGGGTTGGGGTTGGGGTTGGGGGTGTACACAGAGGGGATGGGTTGTCAATACCTAGGAATAAAGAGTCACCTCAGCCAGAACAGGTTGCCTCCAAGAGGGAAGTTACTCTCTGGGACATAGTTAGCCCCAGGTAATCCTGAAAGGAAAGAGATGAGGAAAGGCACAGGATCTCATTTTCCTCCCTGCCTCTGATCTCCTGCCAGGACCCTCCAATAGCCAAATTCCACTGGGCCAGAGGGCAAAGGAAGCTGCTGATGGGTTTCTCGCTGGTCAGCCTTCTAGGGCAGGAAGTCTCCTAGGCTGGGGCAGGGAGGGTACAGGAGTTTCAGGGGAAATGGAAGATATGCCACACAAATTTGATCTGTAGTCTAGCAAGAGGATGGTATTTTTCTGTGACCTCCTTCACCCTAAGCAAAGTACCCATGATTTATCTTCAACACTCTCAACAACCCTGCAAGGTAGATAACGCTAATATATTATCCCCACTGTGCAGAAGAGGAAATCAGCTCCAGAAAGTGAGCTAAATTGCCCAGTAAGTAGCAGCACCAGGATTCAAACCTGATCTGCCTCCACAGTCCATGTTTGTGTTTATGTTGCCAAGCTGCTTTGCTGCCAACATCATGAACCAATGTATTTTAATTATCAACAAGGGGCAACTTCTGCTAATATCAAAGCTGTGCCTATACCAAAGAATGTTTGATAAAAAAAGGTTGACTCTCAGGAAGGTAGTTATCTGAGTTCCTACATATTCCTTCCCCTCAGCAAGATAATGCAGTGAGACAGCAGAAAATGCTTCTCCCTCCAGGTGCACTAAAAAGAAAACCAGGCAAGCGAACATGGGCACATGTGATTTCATTATGATAGAAGTTTCCACATAAAAGTTAATTAGGGAGAAAGAAGAGTCTGCTCCTGAAGGGAAAATACTTCAGAAATAAAAATGGAGGGAAGAGGCAGTTAAGATGGACGATGCTGGAACATTCTGAGAAGGAATCTGAGCCATAGCACTTGTATAAATAGTTCAGCTTCGATGCGAGGATAAGGGAGTTCAGACAGCTTCTTTCCTAGAGATTAAGGATTTATACATCTGAAAAAGCCCTGAACTGGTCATCAGAAGAAATGAGTTCTGCTTTCATCACTATTTCATATACACAAGCTGTATGATATTAGGAAAATCCCTTCTCTTTTCGCCTTTACCAGTTGCTTGCTTTTCTGAAAAGTGGAGATAACAATATCTGTACAACCCACCTCACAAGTTGTTACTGGAATTAATTAGATAATATCTCAAAAGTTTTCTGGAAACCGTAAGTTTCCCTGCAAATAAAAATTTAATCATTTAAACAGAGAATTGCCAATGCCTAATGATATTCAAGAATAAGAATCAAAAAGGATTCAAATCATCCTCAAATATTAGAAAAGCTATTGGTTATGTTTTGTATATTTCAGAAGAATTTCCTATGCTTCCCTTCTTTCCAAATTTTATTGTTTTCTTCTATTAACTAATTCAATTATATAGTGGCTGCTGGATCATAAAGCCACTCTAATGAATTAATTTGAAAAAAAATTATTAAGCACTCACATGCCAGGTACTAAATTAAACTAAAATACTAACATTGAATTTTCTAGATTCAGGGGAGAAAAAGTGTTTGGGGTGTAGTTGCCTAACGATCAAGGGGTAATTTATTAGCTCTGTCTCCAACTTAGTGTCTTCTTCACTTCATCAAAAGATATAGTTTTCCAATGCTGCATAAAATAGACATCAAAGTGAAAACAAATTGACAACCTCTTCCTTTTGTTAGATATTATATTTGTTGGAGTTTTTGTTTGCTTGTTTTTGTTATGCATTATCTATATCCTCAGCCTCCTTAATTAGATTCTAATCTCAATAAAAAATAACTAGCTATCCAGGCATTATGGCTCATACCTATAATACCAGCAACTCATAAGGCTGAGGCAGGAGGATTGCAAGTTCAGAGCCAGCATCAGACACTTAGCAAGGCCCTCCACAACTTAGCAAGACCCTGTCTCAAAATAAAAAATAAAAAGGGATGGGGATGTAGATCAGTGGTAAAGTACCCTTCCAATAAATTCTCAGTACCAACCAAAAATGAAATAAAATAAACAAAAAAGAAACTAGCTATGGTACATTAATAAAGGAAATATCATCACTGTAAAAGACATCACCAAAGAGATACAGTAAAATCAGGGTCAAGTTACCAAG